TCACCTCGAAGTCCGTCGTTACACAACTGAGCGTTTTTAAGGCAGTCTTTGTCGCGCACCACCACTATGTGGAACCAGCTACCCATTGAAGTAATTCCGAACCAATTCGACTTAGGGTCCTTCAAGAAAAGAGCGTGCCAATTCTTTAGAGGCCTGCAACGCTTTTGCGAGCCTTCTGGCAATGTGAGTGGGCGGCGGTATAACTTATCAGATTAATCTTTAATCACTAGAATACGCTGAGTTCTGCATTCTCTATGTTTCAGCTAATTGTCACATTTGAAATTCGAATGTCTTCGTGAGAATGTCATATTAAACACCTCAATAAAGTTTATTGCTCCCGATGTCAATACGCTTCCGCAAAATTCGTGTCTAAATGAGACAATTCATGTCAAAGGTCGCGCTGTTTTAACAATTACATTTGCATTTCTGCATCGTCTTCGGGGTAATAACCAAATAATTAGCTTGCTTTATGGGACCTTTGATTGTTTAACAAACATTGTTTAACATTTATTTATTAATTACTGCCAGCACATATCCATATTATAAACGAAAACACGTAAACAAAGCCAAAACAGATTACGTTGATAAACAAAATATATGAAACAGAAAACATATACATAAATACAGTGTTCCGCAAACTATTTGCGTTTGGTACATGTAGGAAAACTAATATTGGAGGTACAGGAGGTAATAAACAGTTTAAGTAATAATAATTTATATCTAATTTATATAATTCTCGTGCCACAATGTTCGTTCCCATACCTATTCCTCCGAAACTTATTTAAACGATTATTATGAAATTTTTTATGCATATGTAGTAAGTCTGAGAATCGGTTACTATCTATCAAACCCCTAAGCGATAAGTGGTGTCCGCCCCAAAAAAAAATTATTTTTAAACAAAAATTTTTGTTTTTCTTAGCTCATAAGTGAGCAAATTTATCCGCCAGATGCAAGTGCATCCACAGAATTAGACAATTTTACCTTTTTCGCGGCAAACCAACTAATACACGCTGTACACGCCGCGGTACACACGTTGTCGAACACTGTATTAATAGACGAAACGAAAAAGAAATCTGAAATTAATACATGTTCTTTGTATTAAAGTGAAGGTATGTGATGCTATGAGTAATTAAGAATTATGTTTTTATAGGTATTTTTATATCTAACATATACAGTAGCAGCCTGTCCCGGTTACCCACGGTTTTTTCTAAATATTTTGGAAATTTAATCCTGTAATAATAAGGAATAATTTAGTAGTCCCACGTAGTTCTGAAATACGTAGTATTTTCCAACGAACAGATATCCTCGGAGCAGTGAGGTCGCTCCGTCGCTGTGGAGGAAACTTCTGAGCTTCTGCGTCTAAGTGCGGAAATTGAGTTCACACATGCATACATATATACAAGGAATAATTTAACAATAACGCAGTTATAATTTTTGTAATCGCTCCTAATTATTTTATACGTTTAAAAAATAAAAATACATACTATATAATATTTATAAAATGAGACAAAACAAAAACACGGCTTATTTTTTTTAATGGAAGATTTTTTTCTTTTTTAAAGTAAAATTAAAAAACCGTCCCAGTTTTAACCATATTAAAGAAATTTAATATATATTTGTATTTTGCCGTATACAACCCCATTTCTCATAGTTTGTCTAGGTTTAAGCAGTGGCGATAAAATTGCTCTCAATTAAGTGCACTTATCGCAGCCATTTGCATATCCATGACTGATCACTGATCGAGTTCAATTGTGGGAACTGGCGGTTAATAGTTGACATTGTATACTATTATTTTAACTGCTCGTGTTTGAACTAGTACGAGTACTTTACAAAAATTTTGGAGATGAATAAAATTGTATTTTCGATCTACTTTTAGCGATAATGGCTTACATATACGAGATATATATATTTATATGCTGTCATAGAACTATTGCAGAGCTACATTTCGTCTATACATTATATTCCTGTAAATGTTACAGTATTTTCAACACACGCCAATAAAGGTCACAAAAACGATTTTTTTTCAACTTATGATTTTAAAAAAATTGGCCTATTTCAGCAATATTATAAGTTATATGTTTAATAGTTATCTCGTGAAACAGGAACAAATATCCATACTGAGTATTGATTCTAATATTAGTTGAATGGTAAATAAATGAAACGATTTTTTTTAAATAAATAAGATTAATTAATTAACTTTGATAACAGAAAAGTGTATTTTTATAGGAATACTATTGTCTTAAAGTAGCTTTTCAAATGGCGTTAATGAAGTTTCAACACACGAACGATTTCAAGAACATTAGCACCAAATTAATTCCTCAGAATTTAAAGTGTTTTTTGCCTTCAGTAAAAATTAAAAAATAAAAGTTCTACTACTTAAGTTTCCTGATTATTTTATATATAAGTTGTCCTAGATATGACCTTTAAACACCTTAATTTTTTATTACATTTAATAACACAAGAACAGAGTGTCTTCCACTTAATAGACTCTAAGTAGTGTTATTGGATACTTTCTTATGTTAAATATCCCTTTTAGTAAATAAGTTCTTAAGTTAGGTTAGATTGTAATGTTAAATGATGTCTTTACACAGACAATATTTTTTTATAGCGTGGTTTGTGTTTATATATATACGAATTCAGTCCAGTAATTCCTTGTCAATTAACCTTTAACTATTGCCTGCCCATAAAATCTATGAAAAAATATTGTCTATGTCAATTCAGCAATGTAACCATAAACAATGTTTCATAGAATAAATTACTTTAAATACGAATTCCCCTTTTATCACATTAATGTGATGCGCGTGTCAGTACCATCATTATTAGATGAAGAGTGACAGCATTGATTAATCATTTATAACAATGTCTAAATTTTCTACGTCTTGAGATTGTTATAGCCCTGCCATTTCGTTTTAACGTAATTTTATTTACACTTGGTAAGATTTTCTTTATATGATGTAGAGATGCGCAAATACAGACTTTTATAATCGTTGTTACAAGACTCTACTTGTCTATTAAACCACAGATACCCAAAACTTAAAATCGCAATCGCGATTAGTGAATTCTATTTTTAAATTCGGATTGACACGTCGTATTTGTTCACGATATTAAAACTTTCTTAAAGTTTTGGTAAACGTGGGACGGATACCATATCACGAATGCAACATTTAACAAAAAATATTGCACGGCTTGTTCTATTTTTGAGTGCATTTCGCTATTTTGGCGTTCCCCACAGCCAATATGTCAATGACCCGGTTTCGCGGCATTTGTTCACGTACTTTTGGTGGTTTTTGAACGCTCTATCAGTGACTGGCGTAAACTGCGTTACGTTAGGGTTATTTGAATATGGAATAATTTTAAGTCTGTTGTGAATTTGGTTATTTTAGTGTTATATAGTCCACGTCGCATTCATTTGTTTTTTACGTGTTATCGTTTTAAAAATCGAATTAAGTTTGACTTTTTTGTAAATATTTTTTAAAGTTCGAATTACAATTTGTTTTTAATTAAACATATCCATGCTTGTTGCTACCTACTCGTAACCTATGGGGGTAACGGTATGCTGAATTCTGTATATTTATTAAAAATTGTTAAGGCCGAGAGTTTCTATGACAAAAATATTGCTTCGACGGAATCGAACAGAGTATCGTCGTAAACCACTAATTGCGGTTGCACACTACAATACCTAACTGTGAATTTTATTAATCGTTTTACACATTACAATTAATTTGAGGTTGACAAATTACAAAGCAATTAAAAAAGCAAACTTTACGTTATTTGTGTAACTTAATGCAAAACGATTGCACTTGAAAATGTGTATTAACTGTCTAACTTAGAAAGCATATTAATTGGAATTTTATGTAAATACAATCGATTTAAACTAGAATTTATTTCTAGCGCGACGCGAAGTTCAGCGTTAGCATACAAAGACAGGGCGAGGCTACAGCTTTTTATGAGCCGAATTCGGTTTTAATCTACGTGCACACAGGCTCAGACGTCAGTGCAGTGACTTACTGAAAATACAGTAGATCTACTGTTTTCTCTATGCCGAAAAGATATACTAGTCAAATATAACCTCCTTGTTTGTTTTATTTGATCTGTTAAAAAATAAAAAGGTTTTATACAAACTTTAATGGCCAGGATTTCGTCTACATAACTATAGTAATTTTAAATTTCTATTTACAATTTTCTTAACCTACCAAGTAATAATAAAAATAATTAAAAAAAAAAAAAAAAAAGTTTGGTCGTAAACGTATATTAACTAATGGCGTAACTATAGTAATATTATGTTATCAATACGGATTATTATATTAACTTAGAAAAACTTTGCCTCGTTTTGGAGACACATGGTTAACTTAAATATATCTACAGAATTTTACTGTACTAGCTGCGGCAACGTAGCGTTACTTTCGCGAAGCACTATACGTGCGCGGGCGCACTCACGCACACATGGCCCGCTGCCCTCCTCACTGCAATTTGATGGCGCGACCCACACTCTCACGCAATTGCATACTGTGTGCGTAAAAAGCGCACAGAGGCGCGGGGAAAGGCGGGACGATCGTCCGCCTGCAACTAACAGTCACCGCTTGACGCTCGTAAGAGCACACCGCCCCCACAGGGCACAAATAAACGCGTACAACCCCCGTGCGAATAAGTGTTTATACGATCACATGTTGAGTTGGCAGCCCTGAAATCGGATCTTAATTTTTACAGGTAAGTTTCCAAATTTAAAAATTTCGTAGACGTGCTACGGGTCTACGAGAATATTTTTGTACTAGACTAGATTAAAGTTGATTACCTGTAGCTGTATAGGTAAAACGTCAATTTGGTAAGGAAGGGCTATGTAAATGGGGTAGGGCGGTGCAGCGGGGCAGTGGACAATAATAATACACGTAGTAGAGTCAGAGCGGACTCGCACTTGGTTCTGTCAGTGCGTGTCGAGCATTCAAAGCTGCAAGTTAGTGAAGTGCGCGCGTTCTGTAAATGTTAAATTTTGCTACTGTGCCATGTATCCTGCGTCTTCTTGTGACGGCATTTTGCCTGGTATGTAGTTGTTTTAGTAATTATAAGTGACTTTAGCAATTTAATAATGTTCGAAGAATGTGCAAAATTAATGCAAAAATTATTAATGCGAGTAAATAGTTAATAATTTGTGCTTAAATTATATATTATTAATTAATAAATTATTTTAATACAGGACAAATTTTTACCAATAAACGCTTTGTGTTATTTATAGAATTTTATAACTTTTTTTTAATTTGTCTGTTATATTTAAAAAAAACATATTAATTTTACACAGTACAGTGAAATTATCAGGCTCCAAAGCTTAACCCATTTATGTTTTTCTGTGTTTTTCTACTCTTAAACTATTGTGCAATAAAAAAATCTAAAGCGTTTATTTTCAATATATTTTTTAAAGTAAATTTTATTATAACTCAGAGGGAATTAATTAGTGCTGTTGAGTCAATTTTTTAATTAATTATTTTAAACACTAATTATTATAACACTAATATATTCTAAATTAATAGTTTTAAATAATTTCGCCTACGTTTCGCGTACGTTAAGTAATTCTTAATAACTAAAAATATAATTCTATTAAACATATTTCTCATTTACAATCAAGAATATAGTATTTACAATTTTCTTAACCTACAAAGTAATAATAAAAATTATTAAAAAGAAAATCAAAACCAATTTAAGAAGTTCGTTTAAAATATAATTCTAGTTTTATTTTTTTCTTATTAGATTGTTAAACATAAATATTAAAGCCTCCTGTTAACGATAATTTTCTGTTGTTCGCAGAAGCACAATTCAGCAAAATGGGAAGTAGTGAGGGTCAACAGACCTTCTGCCTAAAATGGAACCATCACAAGACAAATCTAGTAGAGATTTTAGAAGCATTAATCAAAGTCGAGACATACGTCGACTGCACCCTGGTTGTAGATGATCAGGTCACCTTCAAAGCTCACAGAGTGGTACTAGCCGCCAATTCGCCTTATTTCCAATCAATATTGGCCGATGTACCCATGGATCATTGCAGCATACTTTTCCCAGGCGTTAAAGAGTTCGAGATGCGCGCTCTCCTCGAATATATGTACACAGGCGAAGTAAATGTGACCCAAGCTCATATTCCCCGCATCATGAAGGTCGCCGAACAACTGGAGGTAAAGGGCCTGTTCGATATGACAGAGTTGAGACGCCGGCCGGGCAGCAGCGAGCGCACACCGGCTGCATCGCCCCCGCGTGTGGTACCAGCCGCGCCATCTAGCGTGTCACCGCCCGTACCTATCAATCGCTGGCCGCCCCCCGCGCCCCTTCTCTCTGCAGCCTACGATTCCGCTGATATGAACCCGTTGAAACGTAAAAAGCTATCTAGCATGTTAGCCACTCGTGACACACCAATCCTAAGAAACGTCCTCGCTCAGAATACCTCCGTGGACTCATCACAACCTATCTCTCTAGTATGCCACCCTGTTGTTAAGCAAGAACCTCCGCGCTGGCATTCCAATGGCTCAGCGAATGAATCAGAGCGACCCCCAAGTCCCCAGCGTCCCTTCGAACACCGCCCACGAAGATTATCATCGCCCCACTACAACCGCTCATATCATTCTGAAGACGCCCATTCTCCCTACACTGAGCGTTCTTTTGAAGAGGAAAACACTCGCTCATTCCATCCCTCATCTCCACCCACAAGCATGCAACCAGATGTTAGAGCCGGCTTAGCGCCGTACGTTCCACCTCAACAAAAACCGGAATGGAAACGATACAAGCAATACACAAGATCGGATATCATGTCCGCGATCGAATGTGTAAGAAATGGTATGAGCGCTCTCCAAGCTTCGCGTAAATACGGCGTGCCATCACGCACCCTTTATGACAAAGTGAAGAAACTAGGAATCACTACAAGTCGACCAATGAGTCGGGGCATAAAGAGGGAGTCCAACGGCGCCGCTTTCCCTTACGGCTTGAGCGGAACGGGAGGCAATGATGAGCACACACCCTCTAATCCATTGATTGACCCGTCATTTCTACAACAAGCTTTAGAAGGGGCGACGAGGGACGGGGGCAGGGAAGCCTTACACGCAATGGCGTTGGCCGCAGCCGCCCACGCCGCTTTGACACCTCGCACGCCACCGCGCTCAAGACCACAGTCCCCACGATCCCCGGTTCACGATGATGACCACGTCGAAGATCTTTCGGTAACACGACGTCGCGACCCCGATCCTCCGTCTGGTGTGATTGTGCCTCCTCGCAACTTCGCCCTCGACTGTAGCAGTGAACGGGATTAATTACACGCAATGTAAATGACTTGACAAGACTGATATAGGCGTACAAAGTTAGATAAGGCCCTTATTAGACTTAACCGACGCGAAGCCACGTAGACCGAGCGCTCCGGCCGGGCGATTGCAATGGGCCCCGTGGCCACATACTTATCTTCTACCTCTTTTCCTTTCTATTTATTTTCCAGCGCCACACTGCCCGATAGCGAAATCAAATTTCCGTTGGATGGCATGGGATGGCGGTGTCTTGTGATTTTATTTTTGTTTTCTTCTTTTTTTTTGTTTTTAACATTTGTCTCTGTTAATAGAATAATCGATAAGCTAGTTATATGTGTAATGTTAAGTGACGTAGAGCGGCAACCGTTAAAGGTAGACTAGGATGCGCCGGCGCCGGTAGGCACCTCTGGAAGGTCCACCTAGACGATTTATTGTGCAATTTGTTGTCCGCGACTGTGATGTTTATAGACTGAAACCGCCATTACCTCACGCTCGCTATAGTTTTGACTCTAGTCTGCACAGCACGTTGCAAATCCCGGTTTAATAAACCATAGATATCAAATATTATCAGGGGCCTTAGTCAAGATGCCTTAACAGGTGTTTTTTTGATGAGAAGAAAATTCGAACTTACCTAAAATTGTTCATTCTCTACTGTTGCCCTTGGAACCTGATGACACCCATCATCCGATTAGCGATGCAACTGTTTAATTACATTTTCAGTTCATAGTTTTATAATGATTATATTTATAACATATTTCTCTTAGACGTAATAGCTAAAATCAAAAATGCTCAATGTAATTTAAATAATGTAATAAATTCGATAAAACATCACTTTTAATTGTCAACTGTCATTCATGATTTATGTTAACTGTCACTATTGTTAAGTTAATTTTTTGAAGACTGATTTGTTACTTTAGTCTAGTTCAAATGCCATAGATACGATATAATATGTAATGCAAGTTGTTTTAATTATTAAGGGTGAACACGTTTTAGAGTGAGACACAAATATCACTAATGTGCCTTTTTGTTAATTTTTGGACATTCCAAGTAGGTTCACGTTTGCGCTGTTATTAAACACAATTAAGGCACTTTTAGATGTAATTTTAACGGGATAATTAATAGTTTATCTTGTCGAATTCCTAATCAATATATACCTCATAATTTAAGCTTTTATCAGATTTGTGATTGTATAAATTTTGTGCCTATTAATATGTTATAATTTTAGTTAAATCGAGTCTTAAGTAGTTGGTTATGTAAGTTAATTGAAAACAATTATCGTGTGTAGTTTAAAATATTATTGAGTTTATGTCATCTACATACCTTATATTAAATAAGAACTTTATCTATATTTACAAATAATATAATGTTATCAATACAAATTAAACGTTTAAATTGATTCAATTATTTTCCTTTATCCTAAACAACTGAATGGCCACAAAACTTTTCTTTATAGGCTCATCTAAGTGGTTGAAGGCTAAAGTTAACGTACCAAAAACCGAAATTATAATAAATAGGACTAATAGTATTCTATTTAAACTTCGTAGCTACGAATTGTGGCCCTAGGTAATGCTTAAAAAATTAAATTATTGCAATAAATTGGGTACAAAAAATAAATAAAATATAGTATACTTTTAGTACAAAGCTTCCAGTGGAGATAAACTGTACCGTCATATATATATTTTTAATCGTTAACACGATTGGCCGTTTTTTTAGAAGTTATTTAAAGAATTGCAACTGGATTATGATATGTGGCGCCATCTCTTGTCAAACTTTCACTTAATAACGGTTTCTTCATCCTTGTCATGAATGATAATTTTTACAACACGGTGTACTATGTTACTGCTTTGGGTAAACTCCGCTAGATGTCGCTGTTACAAAAATGCTTAAATTTATAGCAACTGGTTGCAATAAGTTTTAAATAGGTCTCTTCTTTTTTAATGTTATTATTTATACCTATTTTATATAATAAGTAAAAATATGGAGCATATAGGGTTATAAAAATTGCGCTAAATCTAAATGGTAGGAAAACCGAGATGACGTAAAATCGCGCCATCGATTTCCAAGAATCTGATTGGCTCAAATTTCTCATGTCAAAGTTGGTGCAAAATAGTGAGCGGATGTAAATAATTGTAAACACGAAAAAAATATTGTTAATTTGCAATAAGTTTTTCTATTAACTAATAGAAAAATATGGATACAGACGAGCCTTTAATGAATAACGATGTATTCAACGTCAATGACATTGCTGATATCGAAGGTTAGAACATTTATATTCCGTTGCAAATAACTATATTGAAACTTAATGACTAATATTTATAAAAACTAAGGCTAAAAAAATGACCTTTCAATAACTCTGAATATAAATTATTTCAGATTTTCTCAGTGGCTGTGATGGAGATTTTATGGTAAAACTTGAGGAAGAACTTGCTTTAATTGACCGAGACATTCAACTAATCGACGTTGAAACGAAACGAGCTGTGGACAAACCTTCGAAGGTTCCACCGGTTGTGACGAGTGGAGGGAATCCATTAGTATCACAATATTCTCAAAATAGAAATTCAGTCGCGGCTCAGGTTGCAGTAACTAAAAGTAGCCCACTGTTAGGCCATTATGGACGTGAAGAATCATACAATTTGGAGATTAAGAATGAGGGACTGACCGATACATTGCAAAATGTCACACAAACCCCACCTGTTAAGGCACCTCAACAGACACCCATTATGGTTCAACAAGTTGTCCAAAGCCCACTGTATGTGAACTTGAGTCATGGAAGCTTACAACAACTTCCAGATGGTCGAGGAATAGTTCAAATTGATGGTGTCCAAAAGGTCAACCAAGTTAAGACTTCAACCAAGCAGCCCATTTTACTTCCAAATAACACAAAGGGTGTGACTCCAGTGATTATTAAAAGTGATTCAAGCTTTTCACCAGTTCTTTTGCAGTCAATCAATCCTGAAACTGTTATGTATACCACTGCTCCTATTCAAGGTAAGAATTAGCTTTTTTACGCTATTAAAGCATCTGATATAATATTTAAGTTAATGATGCAATATTTCGTAACAGTAATAGAGTATTGGTGTTTTTTATTCTTTCTGATAGACCGGGGTTGGCACTTGATCCCTCTTGAGTGAGCAGGAACAACTGAACCATCTCTAGATAAGCCTATCACTATTTGTTTGAAGGCCCATAATTCTCCGAGACATTTCTAATGCCAGTGCTAGCCAATCTAGTCAAAACACATCAAAGTTAAATTAGTGTTTTAATGTACTATTTGTGTTATTTTTAGCATCAAATCCAAGTACAAACACACAAGCGAGCAATGATAATAGGCCAATCCATACAATTTTTGCGAATACCGGACACACACTGTTGACTACAGGCATTGTCTTGGATGATAAATTTACCTTCAGTCCATCAAATGGTCCACCTAAAGTAAAGGAAGTTAAGAGAAGTGCTCATAATGCTATTGAGAGACGATATAGGACAAGTATTAATGATAGAATTATAGAACTAAAAAATATGCTGGTCGGAGAAGATGCTAAAGTGAGTAAACAGAATTTTTAAATAGGATAAGTTATAATTAAATTATTCTTGCAATGACCAATCATTTGACTGAGTTTACGGTACTATATGGTCTTTAGTTATGTATTGAGGTGACTTTATTGAAACTAGTTTTGTGTTGTTATATTTCCGCTATTCTGAACGTGCAATACTTGCATCTATACTATCTTTAATTATATGTTTAGAATAATGTATAGAAATACAGAAATTATATACAACAAACTGAACAACAGTCACAATAGAGATTGGAAAAAAAATGTTTTAAATTCCGACTAGTAAACACTACTAAACAACTTTTCTTTTGATATATTTTTACATGTTTATTAAATACTCAAATAATCCACTTGGTTTCACAATATATATATATATATATAAAGACTCGAAAGATTTTTTTTGTTATTTTATTTGAAAAATAATTTGGGGCCAGGGGCTCCACTCCTTTGTTACTCCGAGGCTTCCAGACCTCTAAACCAAGCCCTGCTCCCAGTTGACAGTACCTTACTAGGACACATTACTAGACAAAAACTGTTCCAATATACTGATAAGTGTTATTTTATGTTTTCAGTTAAACAAATCAGCAATCCTACGAAAAACCATAGATTACATTAAGTATTTACAAAACCAAAACAGTAGGTTAAAGCAAGAGAATGTGGCTTTAAAATTGGCCTGTCAGAAATCAGGAGTCAAAGAGGTGTTCGAAGGAGCGTATACGCCACCCCATAGCGATGTGTCGTCGCCCTATCATTCATCATCGCCGCATTCGGCTATGGATAGCGATAATCCTTCCTCGCCAGACTTTAGGGTGAGTAACTGTTTACAGATCCACAAATTATTCAATGTTCTAAATACATATACATATCAAACATTTAACTAATAGTTAGTCTGTGGAAAGGGAACCGTCGTGGACACAAAAGTTATGCATAGGTCGCTGGTTCAAATCCGGCTCGAAGGACCAAAATGTACAACAATGCTTATATAGCTAATAATGTAACAATATGCCTCCGTCTGGCTATATTTGGGGAGTATTTACGACCATTTAGATAATCGCCACTCAAAAGTTGGCCAACATATTATGAAGGTTTTTTACACACTTACACTGCCAGAAGTCTCGTAAGTGGGTTGCCGGTATTTAAGGAACTTACGCTCGTATCTTGATAATCTCTTGATGAATGCAGATGGACGAAAAGTACTCCAAAGTGGTGATGGGTATGGGCGACCACTCCCGTCTAGCGCTGTGCGCCTTCATGGTTGGGTTGATAGCGTTCAATCCCTTCAGCGCTTTCTTCGGAAGCATTATGACGGACTCGCGTGCGAACGATTTCAATGCGCATTTGGATCAGCGCAGGATACTATCGGACACGGATAATGGTAAGATTTGGGCGTGGACTAGTTGTAGCGTTGCCATGGTTACGATGGTTTTCGCCCATTTTATATTGCTTTACGAGCTGACC